ACACAATAAAAAAAATTGGTGATATTATACACACACATATACATACATATTCACGCATATATACATCGGTGAGATATATACACATACACACACATATATATAAATCAGTGATACTATATATATACACATATATACACACACATACATAAATCAGCGATACGCACGCACACACATATATGAGTGATATATATATATACACACACATGCATACATATATATAAATTGGTGAGATACACACAGACACACATACATATATACATCTATATATACATATACATACATACATACATTCATACATACATATATAAATCGGTGATATTATAGATAGACACACACATACATTGGTCTAATAAAAGATATCAGATTTACCCAAAGAACCTTGTCTGCCTATATAAATCGGTGATATTATACACACACATACATCCCTATATAAGTGTGTATAAGTGTGTGTATGTATATGTGTATATATGACCAGAATTTACATAGATAACACATTCGCATATAGGTGTACGTCTCTGCAGACACACACGCAGACACAATCACGCACACGCACGCGTGTGTGTGCATGTGGACAGACAGACAACCCTGTATAATAGATAGCACGCACACATTTGAGTAAGCATCTATACCCAGAACGGGTCTCTCTGTTTTCCCTTTCAGAGCGGTACCTTCCTGGCCCAGGAGGGGAAAGGCAAGACACTGCCTAGGATTCCTCCTGCTTGCCCCCGTGCCAAGCCCGGTTGGAGCGGCGCTCCCCTCGGCGGCGCGGTGCTCCTTCCCGCATGCTCAGGCTTGCGGCTCCCGGCGCGCTCTCAGGGTGGGAGCCGGGGAAGGCTTCTTCGACTCCGGCCGCGGCTCCCCCGAGCTTCATATCCTAAAGCAGGCAACCAGCCCACGGGAAACTTCTCCTCCAGCCGTCGGGCCATCAGGAGACCGGGACTTCGGTTATTTATAGGGACTGCTGATCACATTCACTCAATAACCCTTGAAAAGCAGCAGGGATTCAGCGAAATAGGTGTGTTGTTGGATGGATGGCATATTGCTGCCTAGGGCATGGTAAACACGAGGGTGTGAAAGAGGACTGATCGCCTCTGTCCTTTCCCCCTGGGAAGCAGCAGCCCCCCGGCCCCTTATGGAAGCGCCAGCATGATTCGCGCTGTCCCCATCCCTACAGAAAAGGACCCCGCAGAGGGACAGACAGTTCAACAGCACTTTGCAATGGGGGTGGGGGCAAGAAAGAGCAAGCGAGACCTACCTTCATGCACTCACACCTGAGCAGTTGCCGTGTGGCTTCCGGGCAAGAGCCCAGAGAGGGGATTTTTTTTCACTAGGAGATGAAAGAGGTTTGCCGCTTTCTAAATATCTGGCACACCAACTTCTGCGGGGAAAGAGGCGGGTGAAGCAGAGAGCAGTGACTGACCCTCTTTAATAGAAAACGAGCAGCATCAAATGATTAAATGGCTAGGTGGCATTTTCTTCCCTCTCTCCCCCTTCCCCCCCCAGTAATCACCATTACAACAGACAGGATTAAAATGCTTTAATACTCGCTGAAGACCTTAAGCTGCAAAGAGTTTTGTTACTTGGGCCAAGGCAGGGCTTTTATATTATATTATATTATATTATATTATATTATATTATATTATATTATATTATATTGCATTGTATCACATCTTATAATACATCACATCACATCACATTATATTATGTTATATCACATAACGTCACTAATGTATTGTATTGCAACACATCTCATATTGGATTACATTAGATCACATCAGTATTGTATTGTATCACATTACATATATTACATCACTTCACATCAATTATATATTATATTATATTATATTATATTATATTATATTATATTATATTATATTATATTATCTGCGTGTTTCCCATTGTTACTTTATTTATTTACTTCTCCCCTCCCACCCTCCAGTGTCTCTATTAACCCTGTTTTAATCTGTCTGTTTGCATGCAGCTCGGACGGTGCTGTGCTGGCGGAGGGGCTGGACGGCCGAGCAAGAAGGAAAGCCCCGAGGTAGCCCCAGGCAACCTGCAGCTCTCCGAGTAGCCGGCGCCGGGGAGGAAAGCTGGCCCGGACCTGGAGGGATGGCGCTGGGCACGTGCAGACGCGGGGTGGGCGCTGCCCTGCCTGCCTGGTCGCAGAAGAAGAAGGTTCGTGCTGCCAAAGGGCCGGGGTAGTGAAGCATAAGGCGGCAGCAGCAGCCTGACCAGGATAATACTCACTTTGCTGCACCTCTGACAACTTCAAGGACTTTGACAGGCTTGCAGGACAGAGACCCCGATCCAGCCGTGCCTCCGCCCCCAGGTAGCTAGAGAACGCCTCGGAGCTGAACACCAGTGCAAGTGCGCACTGCAGCCCCGATTCCTCCTTCGGATGCCTGAGCCTGCAGATTTGCCAAGGGCTGACCCCTAAGCTCCGTGCCCGCCAGTGGCTGGGGCCACAGGTCAGACTTCCCTGCGTCTCATTGACTCAGACCTCGTGCTGAGCTCTCACACCAGGCTCGGCACTCGCCAGCCCATTGACTCTGAACGCGCACACATCCTTCTCTCTGGCCTTGTAAAGCTATCCCTGCTTTATAGGAACTTGCTCCTAAGCAGAATTATATAACCCCGTGCAGGCACACACCTTTTGGCAATACAGAGAATAAACCGCGTTTGAAACCTCTGGCTTTTAGACTGATCACCCATTAGATTTGGGGGTTTCTTACCCTGCCCTGTTCTAGCTTTGGCTTTCGATAATCTCCCGCAGTGTTTCAGGAAAAACACTGCACCTGCTAACTATTCTTCTTTGGATCATTAGCTGCAAGGAATCCCCAGAGGGGAAACATTCTGAAATGCCAACACCCTGTATAAGTATCCGTTCAGAGGCAGGAGTCAGGTACCTTCCTGTGCAATGTCAGGCAGACTGGAGGTGGCTTGGAGTGACTGAGGAGTATGCACCTATATTAAAGAAATAGACATATGTCTGTCAAGTGCCCACTCCTCTTTCTCACCTGAATAGTCCCATTGACTACTATAAAATAAGGGCTTCAAAATGACATGGATGGTATGACAGGGCAAGACATATCAATCAGGTAATATTAATATTTCTCCTCCTAAATGCCCTGTTTTAACAAAATCTAGAGTAAACACTGTGCCTGTTGCTTAACACAGAAACAGGAACTGGAATAGTGATAACGACATGTTTCCCACTCAAACTCTGACTATTCTGCTCTTGTTCCTCTGGTCTGTGTTCATGGTTCATTTATTGTTTCCCCTCATTCTGCACACTCCTAACTTTTTTTTTTCTGTTAATGCCCTCACATGTTTATTAGATGTTCCCTTAAATAACAATCTAAAACAATTTAAAACAACTGGTTCCAGATAAATCATTCATTTGTATGTGTTCGCTGAGGTTTCCTTTGTTTTTAAACCACTTCTGTTCTGGCAACTGTTATAGCAATATTTTTATTGTATACTATTTACCATTTTGTAAGCATATCGAGACAAAACAGGACATCCCTAATGCATGTGGGTAGTCTTGTTAAAGGAAATGAATGGAAATAGTCTTGAGGTAGGCCAGCAGAATTTAGTTAATTAAATAAATAATTCACCACTGGGTGCATGCTTTGGTTTAGCCAGATGGAAGCCAATTTACTTTGATGTACTAAGCTCTGTATTTTTTTACTACCAAAATTTAAAAAGTCAATAGTTTTATTGAGCTGGAAGAAAGACCTGCTCATTCAGAAGTTTACTGAACTGTTACAATTGGCTGCATTTATTTTTCTTGATTTTTAATATTTATTGTTGAAAATAAGTATCCAATACCCACATTCATTTAGAACTAGATTGTCAGTTTGTACACTTTATAGTGGAAGTGACTCTATGCTCTCAGTAAGACTCACACATAATTTTCCATATATAATTCTACACTCACTCATACACATAAACACATTTTTCAGTGGTTTATTACTTTCTCAAGAAAATCTTTTATAGATTAATTTTTTTCTACACTTGGTCTCTACCCAGAGGTGATATTAAAAAAAAAGTAGCCCTATCCATTTTGCTATTTTTGCGGTCGTCATGTATAAAAGATTGTTCTTATTCCATGTATTCCAAGAAAATTATTAGTGCATATGTAACTCAATACTTGGTAATTTTGTGAAGAAATTTCCTTGTTTTGTAGATCTCACTGAGTTCTTGAAATAAGCTGAGTTTGAAGGAAATTGGCTTAGTATTTTTGGCGTTGTGAGCTCTGGAATTAGATTACTTTTCATACATCCACAGGTCAAGCTGTTTAGAACCCTAGAACACTGCATATAAACCAGTGCAGTAAACCTTGTTTAGTTTTTGTGCTCTGCCCAGCATGGCTTGGACACTAAGGTGATATGAAACGTTGTGACTGTAACCTTGATTGCAGTGTAATCAATGCAAGTGTTACCATCAATTTCAGTGGATTCAGAATTTCATCCCATAGCTTCCTCATCTCCTATCATAAGGACAGCTAAAGCCTGGGAAATTATAAATAAACCAGAGATTTGGGATGGGGTAGAGGAGAAGGTAAGTGGGGCAGTCTGCCTAAAGTCCACATGGTATAGTCAAATGAAGCTCAGAGATTTTTAAGCCTATTGCTCGAATCACTGACTAGCCATTATAATTCCTGGTACACGGGCTTATATTTTTAAAGGTTTTAAACCTATGGAAGTTAAGTGCCCAGGCTCTTTTGAAAATCATATGGCATGTAGCATGTCATAACTATTAAATAATCAGGCCCCACATAACCACATGAAGTAAGTAAATATAACCAACTCTGTTTTATTGATAAGGAAAACTGGATGTGTCTACTCATGCATTTGATCTGGGACCAGTTTACTTATAAGTAAATTACTCATAAGTAAATGCTCTTGGGCAGGCATCTACACATACAGGGACTGGAAGCAGATTTGCTGCTCCTAGCAACAAACTGCTCCCATTTCCTGTGGCCCTGCAATAGGCCCCTGCTGCCACCAGGGGGAACTCCAGGCTCTGGCTGAAGCTGCCAGCAGCCCTACTCCTTGCTCCCTGGCCAGCCACTTCCCTGGCCAGGAGCAGCATGCCCAGCATAGGGGCAGCACACAGCAGCTGTCTTGTCTAAGCCTCTGCCTCCCCACACCATGGCTGCTCCAGTCCCTGCCCCTGGCAGTGATGCCCAGCACCCTGGCTCGTCCTGGCCACTGCGCTGGCCTGCTGCACCAACTGCTGACTGGCTCATGGCTGTCTGAGCCCTACTGTCTCCCCCACATGCAGCGACCACCTGCCCGGCTGCACTGTGCTACCCCAAGGCTGTTGCCACCACACACCTGCCGCCTGGACCCTGCCCTGCTGGCCAGACCCCAGCAGGGGTGCTAACAATGTGTTGCTGGATGCCAACACTGGGGCCATCCATGGCCTTCTGGGCCTCCAGCCCTGCTGCCTCTGGGCCCGCTGGGCCAGCCAGGACTGGTGGCTTCCCATCGTCCAGCAGA